TACAGAAAACTGTGGCGGATTAAGACGTTTTGCAGACTGAAGCACAATAAATTCCAGCAACCCTTCTTCTATAGATAAATCGAACAAATTCTCGAGAATTTCGAAAATTGAGTTCTTCAAAAATTCTGTTTTATTATTAATATCGTTACTACAGATGTTTTTCCGCTGATGAATATTTATCTAAATCAACTCTCCAATACAAATACAACAAAAATGAAATACTGATATATCAAATCAATCAAATCAAAATATGCTTTATTGTCCAAAGAAAGGTGATTCTCATCGACACAGCATATAGGTTAAATAAACATGATCAAAGATTTACAGTAACAAATACATAAACATTAGAAAATAAGTCAAGAAAACAAAAATTAATAACATATAACAAAATAGTGCGTCAACTAACAAACTGAAGCACAAGAGAAATGTAGAAATAAAATGAAATAAAATAAAAGAGGATATAGAATGATATTAGTAAATCTATATATAAAATTGAATAAATCTAGACTCGAATCTAGATATCAAATATATTGTTAGTAATCTTGATAAAATTCGGTCAGACTATAATAATCCTTCACAATTAGAAACTTTCTGACTTGTTTTCTGGACTTAAGTTCATTGTCAATTTCCCGTTGGTATATAGGCATCAGATGATTAAACATTTCCTTGCTCTCATAAATTGAAGAGTTCTTAGTCAGAGCCGATGTGGAAATGGGAAGTTTGATACAATTTGAAGAACAAAAAGTAAATTCATTTTATACAGCGTGCCTCACTTTAATCCCCGCCCCCTCTATATCTCAGCAATTATAGTCGTGCGATCTACCAGATTTGGACCGATATGAATAACCATCAATATGATCAATTTTTCAGAGACGAACATCTTTTTGGACAGTGCCGTGCTTATTTGATAAAATATAAAGGAGTTGATTTTTATGAAATCATATAAGGAATTTTCTTGCAAGAAAACTAACTCACCTAACCTCCTTATGCAAAAAATCACCTCATTCCGAATTAACAGGATTGGCTTCATTATCAGCCTCGGGAAAAGAGTGAATTCATATTAACTGCAAATTGGAAATCGAGAAATTCACCACACACATCTATTTATTATAGACAGTCATGGTGAACAGTTCTGAGTTTTGCCTCATTTTATTGTCTAAATTATCAAATTTTCAACTATTTTCATTTCCATAACTATAAGATCTTGTAATCGGCTGATGATGAGCTCATATAAGCCCGAAACATGTACTGCGTGATTGATCTCTGATCATGTTTCAAGTTGTGGAGATGACTTTGTGTTTCTTCATCTATGAAGCCTTTTAGTATTGTTGATCACATCTGACAAAATATCGGGGCGCCATTGACATTTATTTTTGGTCGTTTCCGATTCCGAAATTTGGTGGATCCTGCAGTTACCGAGGCAAAATTTGTCATTTAGTGCTTTCGCCATTTTCTAGAGTCCGTTACTATGAAGTCCTACGTTTGTTTTTGAATGCGTCAAGATAATTTAGATTGCATGATTGATACCAATGTATCAACAAAGTAGGCTTGGCGTAACATTCACGAGCGATATAAACAAGAATGTCTTATGTCAGGTGAGGTTTCATGGTTTAGAAGGTCTATAATTTGCTTCTCAATATACTTTTTCTATTTTTTATTGATGAAATGATTTTTCAAATATTTCTGAGCAAAAAAGGTACTCCCGTGAAAATTCGCTAAAGTGAACTGATTTCGAGATATTCCGGGTTTAAGTGTTCGATGCCGCACCGGAATATCAAATTATTTTGAATAAAAAATGTATCTTTGTGGATGTAATTTGGTCAGTGAATGAGTAGTGCAGAAATGGATTTTCCAATATACTTTTTTGGGGTGTACTTGTTGATTTTTATTTTTTGAATACACAATAACTTGTTGAAAACGGACTGGACTAAATTTTTCGCGAATTACATTTGCTTACTAATGAATTTGAATTTATGAAAATTCAACACAACAAACAATAATTTTTTGTAATATAACAAGAAAAATATTTCGAAAAAACTTCCACTAGTATTACAATACAAGTTCCTATACGAGTTTTCTACTTCTTCCGAATCTACAATCAGATAAATGATGATTGTTATATTAGGTCAGTTATACTTATACAAGAACATAAAAATGACTCATTCTACCCCTGATACGAATTTATTCTTCAGTTTTTCAGGTTATGAGAGTAGTTCATAAAATATAACTACGAAGTATTCAAAGACAATAACAACAATTATGTCTTGGTTTTGTGAATATTTATTATATTTCCATTTTTGCTGATATTTTATCTGACAATGAAAAAAAAATCATTACGGAATAACTGAGATTGTACCAGAAACTTCCTCACCAAGTTCCTATACAGTGTCTTTCAAATGTATCGGAACGGTCTCATATTTCAGAAACGGCTTGGGAAAAATTCACGAAATTTTCTACAGGGTGATTATTGATGATGTCCGATTCAATGGTGGCATCGGCAATGTTGCCAAGTTTACAGTTTTTCAGATATTAGGAGTAACTTTATTTTTTCAAATGAAATACTTTATTTATCTTTATTGCAATTAATCAAGCGCCTCCTAATTAATTGAGTCCCCGAATATCAGATTCGTAATTAACGTGATTTTCGAAATTTGACAACATAGCATTTTCGTTGAAAAGTTCTGGAACGCTCCCATATTTCAGAAACGGCTCAGAGAAAATTTATAAAAACTTCGACAGGATGGTTGTTGATGATGCCCGATTCAATGGTGATATCGGCAATGTTGCCAAATCAACAGTTTTTCAGATATTTAGGAAAACTCAATTTTTTCATATGGAATACCCTATTTGTTTTCATTGCAATACATTCAGCGACGCCTCATTACTCATGTCTCCAAATATCAGATTTTAAATTGAAGTGGTTTTCGAAATATAACAACATGGCATTTTAGTTCAAAAGTCTGGGAACCTTCTAATATTTTCAATACGGTTCAAGGAAAATTCATGAAATTTTATACAAGATGGTTTCTGATGATGCCCGATTCAATGGTGATATCGGCAATGTTGCCAAATCAACAGTTTTTCAGAATTGATAGCAATAAAATTTCACATTTCTTCGTGCCCTTTTGGAAATATTGGAGCGTTCGCGGACATTTCAACGGAGCATGTTCTCATATTTAAAAAACCACACTTATTTTAAATTTGATATTTGAAGACATAAGTAATGAGGGGGAGCTGAGTTGATTGCAACGAAAATAAATAGGGTTTTCCATTTGAAAAAATTCAATTACCCTCAATATCTTAAAAACTATTGATTTGGCAACATTGCCGATATCACCATTGAATCGGGCATCATCAGAAACCATCTTGTATAAAAATTCATGACTTTTCCTTGAACCGTATTGAAAATATCAGTAGGTTCCCAGACTTTTTAACGAAAATGCTATGTTGTCAAATTTCGAAAATCACGTTAATCACGAATCTGATATTCAGGGACTCAAGAAAATTATTATACAGGGTGAGATATTCTCACAATAACTCAAGATAGAAAAGAAATAATATTCCAGTCACGATATAAGTTTCGTTCAGGCTACTTGTTGAAGCCTTTGAGTTTGAATCATGTACTAAATTTGAACCCAATCGGGTAATCCCTGTATTTAATCAGGCAGATCGAATTTTTTGTCGAAATCCATAAATCACTCTGTAAGTCAGTAACGAAGCGGTTTTGGACATTTGTATATGGCATTTTTTAATCATATTGGCAGTCCCTATAACCCCATAGGTTTTGTCGGTTCCATCTCCGGACACCCTGTATATTTCTCATACCGTATCTCCTACTATAAGGAGATGAAGAATATATTGCTTCTGAACCTATGAAACCAGCCGAACCAAGACTGTGCAGGTCATTTACTTGATGCTTGTGTTGAAAATATTTTTAGATATCGTTATTTCCTGTTGTTTTAGATTCTTTGTCAAGATGGAAAGGTTTTTTGAACATTTCATTCGAAAATAAAGTTAATGTACAAAATGGCAATTAATGAAATTAACTACTGACATCTGTTCTCTTCGCCGCCTCTTTCATGATACAGGATTATTACGTCCATTTTACAACGTTCGTCCATCCTGAGCATTATATTTGTCCTCAGACATAATCGTTGAATCTACTAGAATTTCTAACTATTCGTTTTGTTCTGGTCGTTCTGGTATTATGACGAATAGAATAATCGACTTTCAATATGTTATTCATCATCAGAATCGGGTTTCCATTCTTTCGTACTGACGTCACAATCTTCATCGCTTTCTTCTTCTCCATGTTGTGTTATATCAACTATCTCAAACTCGACTTGCTCATTCTCTCCATCATTTCCAGAATCATCACTTTCTCCTGAATTTCTATATATTTTCATTTGAGAAACATGAACTACAGTAGTGACATTGGATCGATCCTCCGTCTTCCCTATTCTATTCCTCCAAGTTGAATGTGTTCATTCGATCACAACAAATATTTGAGTTGAGTTTTCGTAGGTTGTCCAGTACTAACATGTGGTTCACCAACTGCTATAATATCACCTATCTCGAACTTTACTCCTTCCATAGACCTATGTGGATAATAGGTCAATGACTCCTTCATATCTTCTTTTATCATAATACATCTTGTGTTTCTTCGTTCAGCAAAATTCACCAATCCTGCGTCTTGAAAATATGGTTGAAACCCGTACAGACATTCTAAAAAGGTTTTAATCCTGTAGTTTTATTTACAGCACCGTCGAGAGCACCGTGCAATTTCCTTTCCATCTTGACAAAGAACCCATATCAACCGAGAATAACGATATCTGAAGATATTTCCAAAACTTGCATGTTTGATATTGATCAAGTAGTCATTGTATGTTCGATACTAATTAACTAGTTAATAAATTTCTGGTTGGTCAAGATTTATTTGATAAAATTATTATTTTTAAAGCATTTTCTTACTTGGTGCTTGAGATAGATTTTTGTTCCAGGAAGCACAATTACAAAACTATTCGGCGGGGAGGACGATAAACTTCCCCTTGAGACAAATGAAGAAAGCATATCTCCAGAGAACCAACAAACTGATGAGAAGAAACCTAACGATGATGGAAAACCTACAGCCAACAGCAACTCTAACGAAACTGCTAAAAATGCCACAGCCAAAGAAACCAAAAAAGATCCCAAGCCAAAGATAATTACAATCAAAGAACCGATAAAATCACAAGAGAACGTTCTATCTATCCAAAGCCTAAACCAAGAAAACTTCGCTAGTTCTTTGAAGAAACTGCAAGACCTCGAGAAGGTTGAAAAAGAGATCAACCGAAGAGCAACCGCTCTCAACAGCCTAGAAAGCTTTGTGATTGATATCCGGAATAAGCTTCTAGAAGAGGAGTATATCCAGTCAAGCACCCAGGAAGACTTGAACAAAATTGAAGCAGCTTGCACCGAGATATCCGAATGGTTATACGAAGATGGCTCTGATGCCAATGCCGACACATACGAGCAAAAACATGACGAATTACATGCTCTCACCAAAGACCTATTCTCTAGAGTCTGGGAACACAAGGAAAGACCAGAGGCTTTGAAAGCCCTGCACACTTTACTGAATCAGTCCTCGCTGTTCTTGGAAAATGCTAAGAATGCCACGAAAGCTAACTCGGAAAGAGATATATTCACAGATGTGGAAGTGGAGACTTTGAGCAAAGTGATAATAGACACGACGCAATGGCGAGACGATGCAGTCAAAGAGCAAGACAGTACACAAAAACATGAACCTGTGAAGTTGACAGTCAAAATGATTGTGGATAAAATGGCAGCTTTGGATCGGGAAGTCAAGTACTTGGTTAGTAAGGCCAAGTTATGGAAACCTAAGAAAGTTGAGAAAGTTGTGAAGGATAATAGTACAAAAATTGAAAATGAGAATGTCACGATAACTGAAGAAACAATTCAAGCTCCCGAGGAAAGTGAAAGTAATGAAGATAAGCCTGAGAGTAGTAATGAACAAGATGCAGAAAATCATTTAGAATTGTAGTTAGTGCAATTGGTGAATAAACAATTTAAATATTTATAATAACTTTTGAGAAAAACAAATCGTACTTTATTAAATTATTATGAATCTGATTTTTTTTCAGTCCATGAGTTCACAAGTGATAAATAAATTATTGATTGAAACTGATTGCCTCAATTATTTTTTCTTATCCCATCTGTATATCTACACAATTCAATAGTCCTACACAAAGGACCCCGCACCGCATCAATCGGAAATGGCTTTCGGTGAATTTACTCGAATTGTTTATATATTGTAGAACTCTTGGTGCTGATCAAATGTCTCCATTACATCAACGCTCTAAAATCAACAGTTAAGATTATATAGGGTGATAAATTTGAATTTTGCAATATTTTAGCTAGAAATTGTGAAGACACCTTTCATAATATCAAAACCAAATCAACTGTGCATTGATTGTTCGAATGACCGATACAAATCTACTATGAAGTATGATAATTCCTGCACGTACTAACAATATACAGGGTGGTTCGGAACATAGCGAATAATTTTGTGGTTATCGGAAAAGTGTGCGGTGGAATTTCATTTAAATTCTGTAGTATACAAATATCATCCCCAATTCGTGATATTGGCATCTCCTAATCAGACATATTATACAGGGTGTCCGCTAAAAGGAGGTCAATCCATTAACCATATATTCCTTGAACAAAAACAATATGAGTTTTCAAATACCATTTTTCATTTTAGCCCTTCATATTCGATATACAGGGTGTCAAAGTTGGAAATGAAAAACTGTTTATTTCTAATTACTCGCGTATTTAAAAAGATATCAATCTTAAAATTGGTTCATTACTTCAGCACAAAGAGTTACATCGTGTGAGGAAAACAAAACAGAAAATAACTGTCAAATATTCGAAATACTGGGGGTCAAGTACACACTTACCCCCATTTTTTTTTTGTACGTGCGCTAATGACTTTCTATCTATTTTTCTTCAAGTGTTCAATCATTTTTGAGTATTTTTTGTCACCTGTAATATTTCGATAAAATTATGTGTTTTTAAGATAATTCGAAAAGTACTGGTTATTGTTTGATGCCTATGCGGCTTACGGTAATCTCATAATGTTCACATACTCCTATTTACTTCGTCGAAATTGGAAGAGGGCGTATATGTATTAAAATTATTTTTACAAAAGAAAAAATAAAAAAAAGTAAGGACACGTGTCGAATAAATTTTTTTTGCCAATCGAGCGGCGTCAATCTTTTTTACGGGGTCGAATAAAAAAAAAGATTTTTGGAATTTCGGGTAAATAATGATTTTAGGAGGATGGGGGGGATCGATTGATGAGCCCACCCTTTTATAGGATTATTGAATTGATTTTTTTCGAGAACAGCTATTTTTTTGAAAAAAATTTAAAATCGGTTTGAGCAGTTTTGGGTGGTGCGGAATCTTTTAAAAATATTTTCGAGCCTCTTCCCCACCGTATGGTATGTCGGGCGCGAACAAACGGGAAATAAAATCGGAAAAAATTGAAAAACAAATATTTTCGGAAATTTTTTGTGAAATTATGATATTCATGATTTTAATAGCTACTTGATGGAATAAATAGCAGATCAGGATTGTCTATGGATGTATGAGAGATTTTGTGCATAAGCCACATATTTTTCAAAGGCTAAGATTTTCTTTAATTAAAAGGGCTGCTCGCATGTGTATTCAAAAAATTTAAAAATTCGTATCGAGCAATTCATTTAGATGTGTGGAATTTCTATCAATTTTTTTTTTCTAAAAAATTATTTCAAAACATTCGCTCTGAGCACCCGGTATTTCCATATTCACCTTATCGTACGTAAAAAGTTACGCCCTCTTCCAATTTCGACGAAGTAAATAGGAGTATGTGAACATTATGAGATTACCGTGGGCCGCATAGGCATCAAACAATAACCAGTACTTATCTTAAAAACAAATAATTTTATCGACATTTCACAAGACGCAAAAAATACTCAAAAATGATTGAACACTTGGAGAAAAATAGATAGGAAGTCATTAGCGCGCGTACAAAAAAAAATATGGGGGTAAGTGTGTACTTGACCCCCAGTATTTTGAATATTTGACAGTTATTTTTTGTTTTGTTTTCTTCACACGATGTAACTCTATGTGCTGAATCAATGTACCAACTTTGAGATTGATATCTTTTTGAATACGCGAGTAATCAGAAAAAAACAGTTTTTAATTTCCAACTTTGACACCCTGTATATCGAATATGAGAGGCTAGAATGAAAAATGGTATTCGGAAACTCATATTGTTTTTGTTCAAGGAATAGATGGTTAATGGATTGACCTCCTTTTAGCAGACACCCTGTATACAAGATGTTATATTTTTGATGAAGTCACATCCATATATGTTAGGTACTTATTATTGGCCTCCTTATTATGACTCACAACTTGACCAACTTATTGGAAAACTCGTTCATTACATGATGAATGTCCACTCTGGAATATACAGAGTGTTTCATAACGACATTATATTCAATAAAAATAATTTGAACCATTCGATGTAGTATATTTTGAATAATATGTAAAAACGTACTGCAGGTATCATAATGAGTTTTTCAAATGATAGAGAAACAATCAACAATAGGAAACAAGAACAATGAATATACAATTATTATGGATCACAAAATATTCTGATATTCAATCACAACAGAAGTTGTGTACTTTATAAGTATAAAAATAAATTTAAATGAATTTCGTTTCTAAATGCTTGACTCAAACCTAACAGAATTTTGAAGCGGAGATTTACATCATTTTCTGAAGAAAATCATATTTTTGTTGATAATTAGTAATAATTAGTAATTGAAAGTTAGTAGCATGATGAAGCTACTGGTATGAAGTAGTTTTATCGAATTTACAATTTTTTCAATATCACAGAAATTTCGAAAATTTCTAAAAAATATCGAAGTCTAAAAAATGTAATAAAAAGATAAAATCCGAGTCACATATGCAAAATTCAAATAGAAACAGATTTTTCAAGTAAACTTTTTCGATATTCGAACAAATAAGCCTACTTTCAGCGATTAATTTGAAAAAGTGTCACTTTTGACATGTAGCGAAATTCACGTGACCCCGATTGAGTAGGCCATTTTTCATCTTTTTCGAAGCAAAACTTAACGTCCAACTCGAATTTCGAAATAAGTTATTAATAAAAGTTTTTCCCATATGATGCCGACTTTATGAATGACACATATGTATATACTCATGCGACAAAATTTGCAGGAGAACACAGAACACAGATATACAAGGTGTTTTTGAAATAAATGCACATATTCAGCACATGAATATGATACAGTCTAAGGAATGTTCCCATGAATTCAGATTTTTTCTAATTCTTCTAATTAACGAGAAATTTCATCCCAAAAATTGAAGAAAATACGAGAAAAACATCAAGTACGCCACTTTAAAACAATTCAAATGATTGAACTCCGCTTGATTGTGCCTACCGCATGGAAATTTGAACAGAGGTGACGTCACCCATGAAACAAGCTGACGTCATTTGTACATCATTATCACGTCAGGTCTGACGTCAGGATGACTTCCAAAATGACGTCATAATGACGTTTATATGACCTTCTAAGTCAAAGACGAATGACGTCATTTTTATGTCGTCAAAATGACGACATCCTAATTTGCTATTTGTATCAGAATTGATATGTTACAACAAAATATCGAAAATGCATATTTGTGATCTCACTGGGAAAATCCAGTCTTTATATTTTCTATACGCATCCAATTCAGTACAGTACATTCAGCTCAATTTTGGTACTTTTGAAAATTGATTAGATATATTTACTGATGAGAGGTGCGCAGTAGTGCGCACTCCGTGTATATAATTGTCTCTCTGCTATATGCGTCAAACGAGGACAGATACCCTAATAACAACACAGGGATTTCCTAGGTACGTCCCTTTTTAGTCCCGCGGTACAAGGACATGATTGGGACATCCTGGGGATGTCCTGCAGTGATTTTCCAGTGGAAATCCCGCCCGGTACATCCCTAGGTTATCCTATTCGTGTCCCTGGAGTATCTGATATCCATTTACATCAGAGTCATTGAATTTCATCAAACTATTGAGTTGAATTTTTTCGAAAATGTTTGTTTCTCTTCCGGAAAATGATTGTGATGAAAATAAAGAATAAAGTCTCAGAACTTCTTAAGAAATTACCATTTTTCGCAGACAGAAATCGTACATGCATAATGCCCCTCATTTTTAAACACCCAAGAATGATAATAATTATACCCAATTCCTATTAAAGTTGTATTTATTCAGGTTTCTGTAGTTAAGTCCTGTTTATAAATCTGTTTAGTACATAAATCTTCAGGAGGTTCAATCCCTACTCGACCTGCAACTTTTTTTCTTTTGTCGAAAAGAAGTCCCTGGGATATCCTTGGGACGTCCTAGAGATATTCCTTCATCGTACTTGGTACATCCCAGGGACGAGGGACGTACCAGAAGGACATCCCGTTGGGTGCCTTTTTTAGCGGCCAGCGGATGTCCCTGGGACATCCCTAGTATGTACGTTGTCCCGACAAAGGACATCCCTGGGATGTCCTAGTATAAAATCAGGGACGTCCATGGGAAGTCCCTAGGATGTACTGGTGTTGTTAGGGATGCCACTATGTATAGATGCCAGAGATTTGAAAGGGCATCACATTCATTCCACACATCTCATCTGTGATTCGAAATTTGAGTCCCACTAAAATCCAAATGACTGCTACTCCGGACCCTTCTGTTTTTTTTTATGATTTATGACTATTAATTCGCATTGTTACCTTTAGCGAGACATGAATGTGACATCCCAGGGATGTTTGTGTTGACTGGGATAAGGGTTCTCCATTGATAGAAGTTCATCAAATTCAATGCACGTTGCACGAAATTAATTGAAATATTTATTAGTCATTCAGTCGTTTATGTATCGAACGAGGCTGTAATATTCTCCATAAATTTTTCGGCATTTAAAAATGTTTCGGACA